TTGTTTGTCTGTTTATTTTGCTTTGTTTTGTGTTTTGAATGTCCATAGGACCAGATTTAACTTTTTTAGATTTTTCTACCTGGATTATTGAGCATCACGTTAAAAGTTACAAATGTTTTCTTTGATGCCTGTTTCTTTTCCAAATATAGAATTGTGTGTGAATGACAGGGATTAACTTAAAACACTTTGTAGAACGGTGCTTTACGAAGTTCAGTCCATTTATTTATATCACTTTACTGGCAAATCTGCCTCATTCAATATGGCTGACGATCTGACGTACCGCTGCCACGGGCCAACCCCTATCCATACGCCCCAGCCCAGAGCCCTGTAAAGAGAGAGTTGCGACACTCTTTGAACTCGCCGATACGCGGTCACGTGGTTCATGCAGCTCCCCATAGTTCCAAACAGTTCATCGCTGTCAGTCAGTTTGAGCGGCTGCTGGCGCAACATAACACAAAAATCGACTTTTCTTACTTTACCTGACGTCTTTCAGTAATTATTGAGCAGTAACGAACTGATTACTTAACTGATTACTGATTATTTCACAGACTATGCATTTTATCAAAGCATTTTTAGAAGCAGCTGATACATTTATCATTAAATTTTAGAAGGAAACGAGACTGCAAACACATATTTGTTAGAAAAATAATGTATATGCAATACAGTGATCAATATAGCCATGTCAGTGTTTTATAACGTTAAAAAAAGATCAGAGTAACACCTGTTATAAAGCTGTTTCTGATGTTCGCTGCATGAGAATGCTCCACCTTGTCCTCCATGCAGCATCAGATCTGCTCCAGCTTACCTCAGATCATCTGGATGAATTCTTGATTTCTATAGAAGATGTTAATTCAACCTTTATTTAAACAGGTTCGTCCCATTGAGCCTTGAGGACTCATTTACAAGAGAGACCTGAATATAATTGTTGTATTTGTCATTTTTTATGGCAACCAAGTACCTGATAACTGAGTTGATTGTGCTTGTAGCCTGACAACTATTGTAAAACTGTAATTCATTGATTAAAATGTTAATTTAAATGAAACTGTTTCTAGTTAAAATCACAACAGATGACAAAATAAGTGTTAACTGTGCAAAAATAAATTTCCAAACAATTTATTATAAAATATGTAAAATGTAAAGCAAGCTTTAATAAAGTACTTTTACTACTATTTATACTGTTTATTAATGACATCATCTCAAGTCAGCAGGAGCACCATCATCATCATCACAACAACACAAAGTGAGAGCTGTAAATTTAATCTGCACAAACATTTTCAATCAGGGCTCAAAATGTTTAACTGTCAAAGAAATGTGCAAGAAAATAAACTGATGTCACTCTACAGACACATTTAGAGAGAGGACAGTTCACAGAGACACAGTGAGGACGTGTGAGACTGAAGGAGGTTCAACCATTTGTTCATGGACCAGAACCAGATGAGAAGAACAGCAGAACTTCCACTGCATGTTGATCCACTGACCAGTGATCTGACCAGTGATCTGACCAGTGATCACATATGTTGTTCTAAATTAAACTTTGGTACGAACAATGTTAAATAAGACATGTCATATTTTTATTGAACAATAATCTTCATTCTAACAGTGACGTTGTAATTTCAGAGACTGAGGAAGAAACAGAAATGAGGCGAGTGAGATGAGGGACAGATGAAAATGTGTCCTCAGAGGACGGGGACATGTCAGGATCTGATGATCCAGGACCAACAGGACCAGGAGGATGGATCAACAGGACCAGGAGGATGGATCAACAGGACCAGGAGGATGGATCAACAGGACCAGGAGGATGGATCAACAGGCAGTCAGGGAACAGAGATGAACAACCTGAGGAACAATTAGAACACAAAAACATACATAAGCAGGACAGAAGAAACTCACAGACAAGAAAATTAACTCAGTCCTGTGAAGAAAAATGTTAATGGAAAATAAATTGACATATTTTTACAAAAGATCAGATGAAGACAACTGGCATGAAGAAGAACTTCCAGCTCCATCTCAATGTACCTGTGATAGTTTAATAAGTGTTTTGTTACTGTCCTACAGTTTATTGATGCTGATTTATTCTTGTAATAATTCTTATTTCTTGTTCTGTCTTGAAAGAGTGTCATCTCAACTTGACCCATGATTACCAAACACTAAACTAATAATATAAAACTAATGTAAATGAACAGTCCTGCAGTAAATACCAACTTTGTGAAGGTTATGGTGTTAAAGTAATCTTATTCAAACATCTTGATTCAGCTGTTAATGTTTAATAGAAGACAGAAAATGAGATCTTGTACCTTTGTGATACTTTGAATGCAACATTCAGTTCATGAAGTCATTCTCCTCTGGTTCACCTGGAAAACATGAAAACATTGACTCATCTCCACAATCACGTTTTTCTTTAATGATAATGTCACAATTTATGCTGCAGTCTTTGACAAATGATCTATAACTTGAACTAAATTACATCAGTCTTGTTGTCATGTTGTCATCATTCTTTGTTAAATCAGGTCTCTCTATTAAATGAGTCCTCGAGGCTCAATGGGATTTACTGTAGAAATAAAGGTTGAATGAATCTCTCAGGAAAAAAGACCAAATATTTTCTAGTTGAGTTCAGTAACTGGAATTACCATAAATTTAAAAAAGACCACCTTTCAAAATGTAAGCAGTAATAGATATTTTAAAACGCTGAATTAGAAATAAACCCGTTTAAACCATCATGTTGCAGAGCAGCTGCAGTTAAAACACAACTAGTAATTTAACATGTTTCATTAACTAAAACTGGCGACATGAAGTATTAATGTTGATAAACTGTGGTACAGAACAGTCAGATAACGCTTCACAATGGCAAAAAAGTGTCGTATTTGCATCAACTTACCGGGAAAACACGGAGAATGAACTACGTTCAATGCTGAACCCGCTGCTGTTTGGAACTCTTTGCCGCTTCATGACCCACGTGACTTCCGCATTCCATTCTTTCTATGGGAGTCTATGGGAGTGTCGCAACTCTCTCTTTACAGGGCTCTGCCCCAGCCCATAGGATGCGTTCAAGTTGCACACACTCATGGGAAATGTAGTGTGATGGAACTACGTCTCTACGTAAAATTTGCGCGACAGGACCAAGCATGGTTCCTGTGTTGTCATGTGTTGAAACTTTAATTTGAGACGTATAATCAGTGTAATCTTTGAGCTATGGATTTGACCGAGTCAAACTCGGACAGTCTTCGTGTAGAAGTTATTCTCTCAGATGGCGGTAAACCGGCGCCATGTTGTCCACACGGTGAGTACACCAAACTGCGTTCAATAGTCCTTTATTCGGTCATTGCTTGGCTTTTAAATGTATATAACCACACAAGATATTTTAGTTAATAACTAATGTTGAGTGAGTATTGTGTTTAGATACATTCGGTTTAATAGTTTATCTTAAAATCAGTTGTTGTAGGCAAGGAGTTTACCAAAAACAGCATTTACCGAGACGTCATAAAGTGTTTCATGTTAAAGTTCTCCTCTGACTCTCAGTACCTAGTCTGGTCCAGCCAGGTCTAAATGATCTTACACAGGATTCAGACTCTTCAGAGACGCATGATGTATTAAAGCAGATGTTTACATACTGTCAAACTAAATCTTTCCTGTTTTAAGTCACTCAGGATTCTCATCTGTCAAATGTCTAATTAAGAAGAGAAAGAGGTTTTTCGAGTTGTTGGCATCATTGTCTTTAAGCTGCCTGACGTGGCTCAGATGTTTGGGCTTCCTTCCACAAATTTCTCACTAGTTTGATGTAGTTTTGTGCCGTTCCTCCTGACAGACCTGCTGGACCTGAGTCAGGTTTGTAGTCCTCTTACTGCTCACTGATTTAAAGTGACCTGGTTTTTAAAATTAAATCTGGGAACATTTCCAGCTCAGAGACAAAAAATAATTTAATGATAATTAATCAAGATTAAATTAAAAAACGGGGACAGTTATGGTTTCATTTATTTTTACATATTTATTCATGTTTAAACAATAAAAATCAAATTCAGCACAGGAATGTGTCTCTCCTCACATTTCCCAAGAGTAATACAACAAATAAACAATAGTAGTAACAATGGTGTCAGAAACATTTGTAATCCCTGACGCATCCATACACTTCTACGCTGATGACACAGTTGTTTATTGTCGAGCTAAAACAGTTCCCAAGGCTCTCCAGCTTTTGCAATCCACCTTTGACATCAACTAGTCAGATTTGTTCCGTCTCAAACTTGTCCTAAACGCCGACAAAACAAAAAGGATGATTTTTTTTTCAAACAGGAAGTCGGTCCCAGCAGTTCTTCCTCCGATTTTATCCTCTAATGGTGTCCCCATTGAGTTTGTTGATTCCTATAAATATTTGGGTATCTTCGTCGACTCGTCTTTTAAGCTCCATGTGGAAAACTTGGTAAAGAAAGTGAAAGTTAAACTGGATTTCTTTTTTCAGAAACAAATCCTGTCCAACTCTGAATGCTAGTAAACACCTTGTATCTGTGACCTTCCTTCCCTCCATTGATTACGGTGACATTATTTACATGAACGCTCCTACAAGAACCCTGCAGATGTTGGATGCTGTCTATCATGGTGCACTAAGATTCATAACTGGCTGTGATTATCGTACCCATCACTGCACCCTGTATTCACTGGTTAACTGGACATCATTAACTTCACGCAGACTCTCTCACTGGTACATTTTCATCTTTAAATCACTTCTTGGTCTGCTGCCTTCATACATCTCCTCCTACATGTCTCTGTGTGAGTGCAGCTACAGCATGCGCTCTCAGGACATTATTACCTGCAGTGTTCCCTCAGTGAGGACTGAACTAGGCAAAAGGGCCTTCTCCTACTCCGCTCTTGTTTCCTGGAATATCTTACAAAAAGATTTGAAGCTCTCGACCATGACCTCTCTAAGTGGCTTTAAGAATCTGTTAAGTTCCTGGCAAGAACCAATGCAGACATGTTCCTGTTTTTAGTTTCCTACATTGCCTTACATTCAAGCTGTTTTTTTTGCCACTTTTTCCTTTTGACTGTCCTTTTGGTTGCCATTTTATTTAAATTTGTTTAAAACAATCTGTATGCCTCTTTTATGATTGTCTATTGTTGTCATCACTCTTTGTTAAAAATTCAGGTCTCCGTTGTAAATGAGTCCCCGAGGCTCAATGGGATTAACCTGTATAAATAAAGGTTGAATGAATGAATTATGTGGGGGGGGGGGGGGGGCACCTGGGTGGGGGGGGTTGGTGGCAGGGTGGATACCATTTCATTGTGGGTGTTAAGGGCCTTGCTCAAGGGCCCAGAGTGGGGCAAGTGAGGTGGAGGCAGGTGTGGGTGTTTCACCTTTCCCACCCACATTTTGATGTTGTCAGTACAGGGAGTTGAACCAGTGACCTTCTGATCACAGGCCCACCTTTAACCTCTGCACCACCACTCCCCACAGATTATAGTAAAGTGAGATACTTTAAATATAAGAAATAAGACACAATTTAGTAATATGTTACCTATTCTTTTCATCTTGTCACTCAAAAATCTGCCTCTAATTAGTTTTGTCCACTGATGAAATGCCCCAAATTCTATATTTAGCAAAAAACTATATTTATTTGGCGCTCCGAGCTCAAATGCAGATTTAAGCAGATGATGATCTCTCCCTCCTCATTATTTTCTGTTCAGTTCTTGCGTCATTCAGTTTCTGTCAATGAGGAACTTTCCTACGTCCAAACTAAGTAAACAAACACACCTCAGACCTATTTTATTTACCTGGACGCAGCTGACAACACTAGAAACATTTCCTACCACGAAACAAACGTGTATCACAGCTAGGATCAGCCCAGTTCAAACAAAATAAATCGGTGCACACATCACAGGAGAGCTGCCCATCGGTGGTGACAAGCTTGCACTGACGTGCTGCTCTTCTTCGTTTTTAAAGGCGACACGCTCGACTCTTCTTCTTCAAACAGTCTGTAATAACAGCAGCACGACCAGCTACAGTAATTGCTGTTGTTGCGCGCAACATACCGGTATTCATGTTTTTTATCCAGCTACTTTAATAACCGTCTGCACTGGGGACATTTCCGGGGGACAGCTTTGGCTGGGGACGACAGGTTGTGTCCTATATGGGGACTGTCCCCGGAATTCGGGGACGTCTGGTCACCCTACACTAATTTATTATGGGATTGAGACCAGGGCCTTTTTATGGCCACTTCAAAACCTAGACTTTGTTGTCCTTAAACCATTTTATAACTACCGTATTTTCCGGCGTATAAGTCACAACTTTTTGCATACATTTGCAAGTCCTGCGACTTATACACCGACGTGCCTAATGTTTTTTTCCCTGTATTTATAACCCAATTTTGAGCTGAGATCTGATGATTTCATTCATTCTGACATGAAAAATTTCAAACATTACCATTTTCAGCCTCTAGAGGGCCCCCAAACATTATGGCAAGCCAAGTGTCTCATTAATAGGTAAAAGTGGCTATTAATGAGACACTTGGCTTGCCATAGAAAGCCACATTCGTCTCGCTCCTGAACTCCTGGAGCAAATATCAAATCAGCTGCATTTCGCCGCGTTGCCCAGGCAAAATGCAGCTGATTTGACCATTAAAGTGCATTTATTAAGGAAAAGTTAAACTGAGACACACCTTTACTATAATGTCAAGCAAACAAATAATTGTTTTTGGGTGATAATTTTGTTAAATTATTGGTAAAGTCCTCCCATGTAAGCTCCCGCGGCCGCCGTTTTGGCAGCCTATCGATTGTGGCATAACACCTGCCCACATTTCCGGTTTGTTAGCGGTGACGCATAATAGATGCAACTTGTATGGCAAAGCAATGTATTTATGTTTTTTTTGCACATTATTAGACATATTTGGATTGATGTGATTTATACGGGGCAGTGTTTCCCCTAGTTAGCTTGCCATGGCGGGGTGCTCATCTCATCCATGATTTTTGCTGTTGGGGGTGACGGAGACATGTCTGAGCGCAGCTTGTACTAACAGGTTTTAAGCGGGGGCGGGGGTGCGTTCATCATGAGGGAAGAGGCAGTGTGAGTGCTGCCTTGGGCTTTTTAGCTAGAGAGCCTGTATTTTGCGCCGCTACCTTAGTGATATGTCAGTGCTGGGTGGGGGTGGAAGGGGCAAGTTCAGTTTGGTAGGCGGAGTGCTCAGTTCTGTTGAAGGGGTGGGGCACCCCGCCTGTTTAATGGTAGGGGAAACACTGCGGGGTGTAACTTGTACAGCAGAAAGTACGGTAATCTGGCTGTATATTGAGGGTCTTTATCCATTTGAAGACCCATTTGTGTCCAAGCTTTAACTTCCTGACTAATGTTTTGAGATACTGCTTCAAAATTTCAACATAATCTCTTTTCATTGTGACTTAATTTGCTTTGTGAAGTGCGTCAGTCCCTCTTGCACTGAAACAGCCACACAGCATGATGCTGCCACCCGGTACTTCACATTTAGGTAGGTCCAACCAAGCATCCATTTTCTTCTAAAAATAACATTGGCCAAACAGCTCAATGACGGCTTCATCAGACCAGAGGACCGACTTCAAAACCTGAAGGTCTTTGTCCCTGTGTGCTTTGGCAAACAATAATCTGTCTTTTTTTGTTGCTTTTGGATAAATGACTTTGTTCTTGTTTCACATGGTTCTTTACTTTTGTTTTGGGGTTGATACTCAGATTTTTTCACTGTAAGCTGTTCATCTTGGGAACACAGAACTGTCTCCTTCTATTGAGGTATAACATGATGTTCTTATGATGTTTATACATTTGTAAACAGAACAACTGAAAAAAACTTCAGAAATTGAAAAATTACCCATGGATGAAGTGAAACAGAGTTGTGGAGGTCGACAGTTCTCTTCCAGATATCTTTGCTGATATCTTTAGTAGAGTTCGACCGATATGGAAATTTTGGTTATCATTGATATTGATATTGGGACGGGACGGCTGAGTGCCATTATAACCAATATGATGGCTGGACATTCTTGAACTTTGTCCACCCCCAAGAATCTAAGTACAGATACTTTTAAACATGTTTTAACATTTGTTACAAATATGATAATGTGTTCACCTTTTTGAAATACTTTTGTTGTCAAAAGTACAGTTCTTACATACAAACTGCAAAATAACATTAATAATGTAACATTCTTTTTACTTCTCTAAGAACATCCTTGGTGAAGTAGTCTCACAATACATACTACCACGAGCTTGACATCTGTAAAAATAAAAGGAGTAAGACAATTATATACATATTAAAAATCACTGTCTGAGCAAACCCTGACTATTGTATTCACACACACATACACACACAGACATTTTGGGGTAATTGCATGATTTGTGTCCATACTAGGAGATGTCTGTGCTTTTGGAGGGGCTATCTGTCCGATCTCCTGCACAGTATCACCCATTCACGCTCCCTTCATTCTTCCTCTTCTATCCACCTCAACGTGCCTCTCATCCACCTCAGCACTATGGGACACCAAGCCTTTTCTCACTTTGCTCCCCATAGTTCTAGAATTGCGCCGCTCAGGGTGGCTGCATGTTTGAGTAGCTCTGTTACATTCATTATGAGTTGTTGCTTATGAAGATTTTAATTCCTCTTTTTCTGGATATAAATCGCTTTTTTCAGATGTTTATTTACTCTGATGTCGGATGATATGCAGCTGGAAGGATTCTTACTGAAACCTTTGTACTTTGGGGCATTTGTTATGATGTGTAACCATAACAACAAGATGTTTTTGTAACAACCAGGAGCAGCTGATTAACATTTCAAAAGCTCAAATACCTCAACTACAGCCCGAAATGAGTTGAAAAGGAGGCGCAGTGGACGAATTCCTATCAACCTGGCAGCGGTGCTCGAGTACTTGACCGCCGAGATCCTGGAGCTGGTGGGAAACTTGGCTTGTGACAACAGGAGGACAGGGATCTTCTCCGGCACCTTCAGCTGTCTGTCTGTGGCAACGAGGAACTCGGCAGACTGCTGGGAGGAGTGACCATCGCTCAGGGAGGAATTCTACCCGACATTTGAGCGGTCCTGCTGGACCAAGAGGCCCGCCGGATCTGACAGCAAGCTGGATCTGGGTGGATGGATCTGTGGCCAGATTTTTGGGATTTGCTGCAGGAGGTCCTTCCTACTATCAGCTATCAGCATCTAACAACTCTTGAATGGAACCAGGATGATAAGTTATGACAACACTTAATTTCCCCCTGGAATTAATAAAGTATATTTGAATGGAATTTTGAATTGAACTTTGGAACGCTCTTCCCCCAGACATCCGTAATACTGACTCCCTTCTGACCTTCAAATCACAACTCAAAACTCATTTCAAGTTAGACACCACTCTGAGCAGCAGGACCACACTTTCCACAGAACAACTGTGTCAACTCTTGAAACTGTGCCTGCAGTCAACCTACTTCACATATGGGGAGCAATATTATAGGCAGAAACATGGGTGTGCTATGGGGTCTCCAGTTTCTCCTATTGTGGCCGACCTGTACATGGAGGAGGTAGAAAAGAGAGCCTTGACGTCCTTTGCAGGGACACCACCAAGGCATTGGTTCAGGTATGTTGATGACACCTGGGTTAAAATTAAATCTCAGGTAGTCCAACATTTTACTGACCACATCAACTCTGTGGATAAATACATCAAGTTCACACGAGAAGATGTAAAAAAAAAATGGCAGGTTGGCTTTCTTGGACTTTGAGGTTTCAGTCTCTGATAGAGGACATTTGCAAACTGAGGTGTACCACAAACCCACCCACACAGACCAGTATTTGCAGTTTGACTCCCATCACCCTTTGGAGCACAAGTTAGGAGTCATCAGGACTCTGTACCACAGAGCAGACAGCGTCCCCACTAACTCAGGAGCCAGGCAGAAGGAGAAATCCCACACAAGACAGGCTCTAGAGCAATGTGGATATCCTAACTGGGCCTTCCTGAAAGCAGAGAAGAAACCCAAACAGGACTCCAGTCAGCCAACAGGTGAAAAGGAGGAACCCAGACCCAGACCAGTGGTCATTCCATATGTTGAGGGAGCATCAGAGAAACTGAGACGTTTATTTTCTAAACAAAACGTCCCAGTGGCTTTTAAACCCCAAAATACATTACGGCAAAGACTGGTTCATCCCAAAGAGCCAGTCCCCCAGCACAAACAGAGTAATATTGTGTATGCTGTTCAGTGTCAGGAGGGCTGTGATCAGTCTTACATCGGGGAAACTAAACAGCCACTGGCCAAAAGGATGGCCCAGCACAGAAGATCAACATCATCAGGCCAGGACTCTGCGGTCTACACTCATCTCCAGGCCAGCGGTCACTCTTTCAGGGATGAAGATGTTCACATCCTGGACAGAGAGGAACGATGGTTTGAGGGAGGAGTAAAGGAGGCCATCTTTGTGAAAAGAAATCGTCCATCGTTAAACAGGGGTGGAGGCCTCCGGGTTCAACTGTCCCCCTCTTACAATGCTGTGATTGCTAGTATCACTCAGCCCTCTGTGAACAGTAAACAGCCATCAGTGTGCTAATGATCCATTGTTAGGCTGATGGTCCTTCTTGAGCATGTGAGCAGCTGGTTTTGGTTGTCAGCAGAAAACTGGTTGATCCACTCTGAGAAGGTGCTATTTAAGAGATTGAGCTGAAAACAGCTCCTCAGACTGAGGAAGTCTTTCGGATGAAAGATGAAACGTTTCTACAATTTTCTTGTTTTGTTTTGTTTTGTTTTTTTGAATCCCCGTAGGACCAGATTTAACTTTTTTAGATTTTTCTACCTGGATTATTGAGCATGCATCAGGACATCTCAATTTAGCCATCTCACTTTAATTTCTTGTTATTTTCTTCGTGGTTTAGTGTTTTATAGCCATTTTGTATTGTTTTATTTTGTGTTTTTAATGTTGTGAAGTGTCCTTGGGTGTCTTGAAAGGCACTAACAAATAAAATGCATTATTATTATTATTATTTTTATTATTAAGCATCAGGCCCACCAATACCTAATCCCACACTACTAAGTTTGCAAATGGTGCACTGGTCATAAAAACAATCTTACTAACGTGCGCGTTCATATTTTCTATCCTCCACTATTCACCATAAAGTTATTGTATTATATAAAATATAAATTAAACAAAAAAACACCCTTCCTTGTTCATTGTTTAAACAGTCAGTCACGTATGGTGAAGGTCTAGTAGTTGGTGTCGACCGCAGCAGGGGAGTTTTTTTTTCTTTGCAGCAAAGTAGATTTCAGACAAACAATGAGGACAACAAAGATAACATTACTAACATTGCACCAAAGTTCATCCTCATTAATCCAGGTATAAATCCAACAATGTTCAGTCAGGTCATCTGAACGGTTTCTTTTGTTGCTGAGACAGTGGAGAGGGCGGCCAGCTCATTACCAGCGAACTGTTTTTTTCCACTTTGGTAGTGGGATTCAGAGTTTGTGGGATTCAATTTGGTTTGGTGGCTCCTCATATTGAAGAAGTCTTTTGGATGAAGGACAAAACATCTCAGCAACAAATTAAACCATCCTGATGACCTGACTGAACATATTTGGGTTACTAACACTGATATATTTTACCTCTACTTTAGATTTATTGTTCTGGATAAAGTTGTACAAGGCAATAGCCTATGCTAGGTTATCTAAAGGTTAGCTTGCTAACTTGAGAGGTATGTAGCTAAGGACGAGCGGGTTGGATGATTGAAGAGAATTTATTATTGTTCTATCCATTATCGTATTTTTTTCCCCGCTTCTTCCATTTTGGTTCACGGGGGTCGCCGGTGCCCATGTCCACATGTCCAGCAATCACTGTGCGAGGGGTGGGGTACACCCTGGACAGGTTGCAAGTCTTTTAACTACCACTGATTTTTTTTATTTTATTTTACACATCAGTTAAAATAAACTTACCATGCTCTATTCAGCTAAATATGCTACAGTATTGGTCCCTGCTTGTCTCTCTTGAATGTGAAACCTGTGAACGGCCATGACTTGAAAGTAGTATTCATGCGCCCTCTGCTGGAGACATTGTGCAATTACAGCAGGTTCCAGTATTTTGGTATCAATATGTGTATGTTTAGTATGTGCCTCCTAACCACTCAGATGCTTTCAACCAACCAATTAAAAGTTTCCAAAGCCATGGCATAATCACCGTAGTTTAAATCTTAGTGTATTTAAACTTGTAGTTTTAATACAAGTTATGTAAAAAATGTATTTGAGCATTAGTCAAATAGAAAATCATTTGTAAATCCTAACTGCCCTCAAACAGGAAAGGTTTAGTTTGATTTAAAGTCAGAGAGAAGCAAATAGGTAAAATGTTTTTATACAGTGCATGTAAACATCTGGTTTCAGCTGTGGCACATGTTTCCCGTTTCACCAGGTCCAACTTTACTCTTTGAGAAGATAGGCAAAGGAGGGAGCAGAGGGAGGCGGTTTTATGCCTGTTCAGCCTGTCGAGACAGGAAAGACTGCAGCTTTTTTCAGTGGGAAGACGAAAAGGTCACTCCTCCTGACTATTAGTCTTTTTCGGCTGAACATCTCACATTTGTAAAAATGTATGTAACAAATGGTTTAATTTATTCACCTAAAGGTGTCAGAGGCCCGTCTGCTGGCACGAGAGGTGAAGAACCAGTCCAAGAGGCTGCCCTTCACTCAGCAGGAGTACCGTAGGAGGTGAGAGGTCCACCGTCTCTGCTGAGCAACATCTGACTCTCTGTGAAACCTCTGCTCTGTCCCTCAGGCTGGAGACATTTATCTCACTTCCTCTGGATCAGAAGAAGTTCTGTGAGGATTGTCAGACTCTGCTCCTGCCAGAGGAGCACGAAGCCCACTCCCCTCACAGAACCTCAGCTGTCACCGCAGCCCAGCTCAGGAGGCCCAGTGTCCTGCTGCGTCCTCTGGACAACAAGAAGAGCAACGCCCAGTACCTGTTCTCCGATCGCAGCGCTCTCTTCCTGCTGGATGCCTTAACCAGCCTGGGATACAGCAAGGCTGTGTGCGTGGGCACGCCCAGGTGAGGTCCATCACAGACCGTTAAGAAAGGCGACCAAATCACAAACTCTCTTATTAACTGTCTGACAATGTGTCCTATAAGATTAGTTATTTCATGTTGTGTCTGAGAACATAAATTATTCTGTGTATCGAGGTGCCCACACTTTCTCAGCATGGAGCTCCAAGTCAAAGTGATCTACCTGCTATAAGGCCCCGTTTACACTAGAGGTTGAATCAACTAAGTCGATTCTAGGACATCTCGCGACTTTTTGAAATTCACGGCGACTAATCGCAGTCAGTGATTGTGTCACATGATCAGCGCCGGCTGCTGGCTATAAAACCGATTCTTCCGAGCAGATGGAAGGCGAGGAGCAGGCCAAGTCTTCCCAAACAGGTAGAAATTCATCAACAGTGTGGAAATATTTCACTTAAGATTATGCTGTTTTTAGTTTCATTTTATTCAATTCACAGTGGGATCCCGCCTGTCTCCTGTTTTTATTTTTATTTTATTTAATCTACTAAATAAAATAAAAACGGGTGCGCTCCACCAGAGAATCCACCACCACCACCGCTGCGGTGGTTTATTTTATTTAGTGGATTAAATCAAATAAAACTAACTTTTGCAGCTTAATAATTTTAATAATAATAGTTTTCCTGTGACTTATTTGCAGAATGATAAATGGTAGGAGCATGACTATACGCTCCCAATGTTTTGTTGTTATTTTTTTTGTAAATAATAAATGACGTTTTTTTTGGCATTTTTTTTATCTTTATTTTTAGCATCTTGAGTTTCTATGACGTCATCAACTAATCAAAGTCGACTCGACTATTATCATGTTAATGTCGACTTTAAAAAATATGTAGTTGTTCATCCCCTACTTTACACAGAAGAACATCTGGAAACTTTAGTGTTTTTTCAGTGTTTATTGGGGATGATAAACAAAAAATTATCGGGTTTACATGAAAATGCTGTAGCTTCTATGTCAGTCGGGTTGCCAGATAAGAAATGATGAACTATAGTGGCTTTAAAATGACAGTATTTTGACCTAAACTGTCATATGTTCTGACTAAAGATATTCTAAGATGATGTGTGCGTTGTATTTGTTGAACATGTTCACAGAAAAGGAGGAGGTAAATAAGACATATAAAATTTATCTGGCAACCCTGATACTGGGCTCAGCTGCATTCATTTAGTCCAAACTGTTGAATACACCAACGTCTCTTTGGAGCCTAGATTTTATCAGTTTTGCTCCTACATATTGAAAAAGAGTGAACAGCACAAAAACACTCTGCTCTCTGCCATTTATTATAACTGTTATTTATTATAACTGTTGCTATTTATTATAACTGTTGTTATTTATTATAACTGTTATTTATTATAAATGTTGTTATTTATTATAACTGTTGTTATTTATTATAACTGTTATTTATTATAACTGTTATTTATTATAACGGTTGTTATTTATTATAACTGTTGTTAGTGCAGAAAAATTTGGACTGCAGCCGCCTGTAGTGCACATGTACAGCACTTGGAGCATTTCACACCTCCATGGGCGTTCCCTTGAATATCTCCACTCTGACCTGGATTCAGAAACCTTCAGTTTCAGAGAGAATGAGGCTGTTGTCTGTAAATGAACAGCCGAACGTTTCATGTTGTGTAAACGGGGCCTCAGTCTGACTGTCCTGTCTGTCAATCCAGAGACAAATTTCACAGATGGATGATCGGCTGACGTCTGTTTTTTTAATGTCATGCCATCGACCCATAATACTTTTGCGATCGACCTGTAGATTACGATCGACGTATTGGGCACCCCTGCTGTAGATGATTGGATCAGTTTTGCTTTAATTCCTGCTGATCTACATCTTTCTTCCCACTCCTTTTTGTCCCCCGTCACGGAGCGGCCACCTGTCCGTGTTGTGATCATGATGGCATGAAAAATTAGTGAAGTACTGACATCTGACATCTATGGTGTGTGGCCACATATAGGGGTAAGAAAGGTCCATTCATCCATCCATTATCTTTACCCGCTTCTTCCATTTGGGGTCACGGGGGTCGCCGGTGCGAGGGGCGGGGTACACCCCGGACAGATCGCAAGTCCATCACAGGGACACATAGAGACAAACAACCATTCACACTCTCACTCACACCTAGGGACAATTTAGAGTTACCAATCAGCCTAACATTCATGTTTTTGGTCTGTGGGAGGAAACCGGAGTACCCGGAGAAAACCCATGCATGCACAGAGAGAACATGCAAACTCCACCCGGAAAGATCCCTGGACTGGGATTTGAACCAGGGACCTGCTCACTGAGAGGCAGCAGCTCTACCAGTTGCACCACCGTGCAGCCCGTAGGAAAGTTCATTATCAAAAATTGGGTTGCCATCAACCAAGATGGCCACCACCACTGTACAAATATGTAAACTAACCACTCGATCACTTGAAGAACTATGCTTACTAGTTTTTATATTAAAAAGTCTAGTTTCTTCAAATCATCAGGGTGGCTGAAGATGAATCTCTGAGGGCCAAACTGTCTCCGTCTCAGAGTTCGATTCAGAATCTTGGTTCAAGTGCCTTATTATTACTAATAACTCAGAAATACCATCTGGTGTATCATGGTATGTATTATTACCATTAAACTGCTGCAGAGTTCCTGTTTGCTCCACATGTTGACTGCAGGGAAACATTTGAGAGTCAAATGTCAATAAGGTCAATAAGAATGGAGCTGAGATGGAAATTTGACGATGAGGTTAATGTGACAAATGTTAAAGCTCTCTGTTGGGCTGAAGACACATGTTTACCACAAACACATCTGGACATACATTTTTGTTGACGTAATAAATAGTTATTGTTTCCAAACCATTCACACTGTTGAGAGCCGTTATTGCTCCATTTGTTTTTCAGTACGTAACTCGTTCAGCAAGTTTCGTACTCTTTCAATAATTTATACCCTGCCTGGCCCAAAAAGGTCACTGGCTGGTTTTAACTACCGTACGGTTTCTGGTCTACAAGCTGCTACTTTTTTTCACAGGTTTTGAATCCTGTGGCTTATACAATGCTGGAGCTAATTTATTTATTTATTTATATATATTTTTTAACAGGATAACGAGCTTTCTTCCACCAAAATCATTAGCCTCGTCACACCCGAGCGCTCACATAGCTGCCCACTAAACGTCTCTCTTGAGGGGTGGGTCCTCATGGCTCAATAGCTATGTTTACTTTTGCATGAATGACTGCTTCAATGCGGCGTGGTATGGAGGCAATCAGCCTGTGGCACTGCTGAGGTGTTATGGAGGCCCAGGATGCTTCGATAGCGGCCTTAAGCTCATCCAGAGTGTTGGGTCTTGCGTCTCTCAACTTTCTCTTCACAATATCCCACAGGTTCTCTATGGGGTTCAGGTCAGGAGAGTTGGCAGGCCAATTGAGCACAGTAATACCATGGTCAGTAAACCATTTACCAGTGGTTTTGGCACTGTGAGCAGGTGCCAGGTCGTGCTGAAAAATGAAATCTTCATCTCCATAAAGCTTTTCAGCAGATGGAAGCATGAAGTGCTCCAAAATCTCCTGATAGCTAGCTGCATTGACCCTGCCCTTGATAAAACACAGTGGACCAACACTAGCAGATGACATGACACCCCAGTGACTGTCGAAACTTGACACTGGACCTCAAGCAATGTGAATTCTGTGTCTCCTCTCTTCCTCCAGACTCTGGGACCTTGATTTCTAAAGGAAATGCAAAATTTACTGTAATCAGAGAACATAACTTTGGACCACTCAGCAGCAGTCCCAGGCGAGATGCTTCTGACGCAGTCTCTTGTTCAAAAGTGGCTTGACCTGGGGCATGCGGCACCTGTAGCCCATTTCCTGCACACGCCTGTGCATGGTGGCTGTGGATGTTTCTACTCCAGACTCAGTCCACTGCTTCCACAGGTCCCCCAAGGTCTGGAATCGGCCCTTCTCCACAATCCTCCTCAGGGTCCGGTCATCTCTTCTCGTTGTGCAGTGTTTTCTGCCACACTTTTCCCTTCCCACAGACTTCCCACTGAGGTGCCTTGATACAGCACTCTGGGAACAGCCTATTAGTTCAGCAATTTCTTTCTGTGTCTTACCCTCTTGCTTGAGGGTGTCAATAATGGCCTTCCTGACAGCAGTCAGGTCGGCATTCTTACCCATGATTGCGGTTTTGAGTAATAAACAGAGCTGGGAGTTTTTAAAAGCCTCAGGAATCTTTTGCAGGTGTTTAGATTTACGTTGTTGATTCAGATGGTTAGGTTAATAGCTTGTTTAGAGAACCTTTTCATCATATACTAATTTTTTGGGACAGGCATTTTGGGTTTTCATGAGCTGTATGCCATAATCATCAGTATTATAACAATTAAAGACCTGAAATATTTCAGTTGGTGAGCAATGAATCTGAAATATATGAAAGTTAAATTTTTATCATTACATTATGGAAAATAATGACCTTTATCACAATATGCTAATTTTTTTAGAAGGACCTGTATGTATGCATATATGTATATATGTATGTATATATGTATATATGTATATATGTGTATATATGTATACATATGTATATATGTATATAGGTACATATGTATATATTAGGGGTTGAACGACTACATAATATTTAAACTCGACATTAACATAATACTACTCGAGTAGAACTCGAGTAGTTGATGATGTCATAGGATCTCAAGATGAAAAAAGTTAAAAATAAAATAATAAAACCGTCAAAGAAACGTAATTTATTATTTACAATTAAAGCCCATCAAAACATTGGGATCGTGTATTATGCTACCATTTATCATACTGCAAATAAGTCACAGGAAAACCAAAACTATTAGTTATTATTATTAAGCTGCAAAAGTGAAAGAAACGTAAAACACGAAACTAAAAACAGTGGGGCGGACGACAACCCCTCAACACCGCCGCCTGTGGTGCGCATTAGGTGTAGTTTTAGATATTAATATGTTTATAGTTTATACACTGGTGGGGAAGGAGCCTGAGCTGGTGTGTGAGG